GTCCCTCATGGCAGGGAAGGCTCAGCATCAAGAAGGAGAGGATACATTCTGTTCTCAGAAAGTGGGGGGAGGGGTGTGGCCAGGAGGGAAGAGGGGTTAGGGCTCACCTCCCTTCCCCCCCTACATTCACCTTTTTATGTGCTCCAGGACGCTGCCTGGGGCATGTCTCCCCATCTCAGCTAACCTAATGGAGGGAATCTCACAGGCTTGCCCCTGGCTTTTCTTGTAGGCAGCTGTAGATCCCATCAAGTTGACAGTGGAGATTAGCCTTGGGGAAGATGCAGGGAACTGTTCCGTACTGTTGATTCCAGTGTGGGGGCTGCAAAACCCAGAGCCCCTCTTAACTCTGTAGATCGCACTGGCAAGTGTTTAATCTTATTTTGACTTTAGCTGATGTAACGTTTTAAATGCCTCATAGGTCAGGCATAAGTTAGTTCAGTTATGGGGTCCTCTGTAGTCCCACCTCTGCCTTTTCTATGGTCATCTCTGTGGAAGAAGGCTGGTGGATGACCACATTTTGATTATGGAAGTTTCTAGAAGGGTGAACACTGAAGGGTCCAGACCTCACCCAGCCCCCTGCTTTGGTAGCCATGACAGGCTGCAGAAAAGACCCAGCAAGACATAAGACCCCTGACTCAGCAACATGTGCTGAGCTCCCTACCTTGCCCGACCTTGCCCTAAACACTAGGAAGCCAGGTATGCTCCATGTGGCAAGGAACCAACCAGAAGTTAACTGGCAGGCTGTGGATGTGTTTTACTGATAACAGTGGAATAATAGAGCGTAGCAACCGCCCTAGGAGGGCTTCTAGGCATAGCAACCTTCCTGCAGCTTCAGCTGACCAATCAACACAGGACAGGTTGCCCAAGCCCAGAGGTGCACCAATCCTAAGACTGTTGCTATGCAACTAGTGGACACCCAGACACTCCCCTTACTCTGCCCCAATATATTCCCTGCCCCACTGATGCTTGGGGTCCCACCCACTGTGTGGGGTGTTTGGGGGAACCCGAGTTAACCCCTAAAATGAAAGACTCTTTGCTTTTGCATTGGATATGGTCTTGTGGTGTTTTGTTTTTTGGGGGGGGAGAGGGTCAGAGCTGGACAGGACACACAGCAAGAAAAACAGGCTCATATAGCATGGTAAATGGGCTTACATAAAGCCTTTTTATTATGCTCTCTCAGCAACACTTTCCAGTGGGGAAAAGACCAGGGACACAGACATACACAAACAGCAAGATGTGAGAAACAGAATCCATTATGCTGGGTTGGCCCTGGCATCCATGGACACTGAGAATCCATGTTCCGGAGTCAGTCTCCTCCTGGGACAGGGGCTGGCTCATGACACCCCTGGGTGAAATGCCAGGTAGGTTCTCGTGTCCATCAAGTTTTCTTTCTGTTGCTAGGGCCCAGCGTTTCCACAAACGCCTTAGCTCCCCAATCACCATGCTTCCTGTTTGTTGAATGCATAGAGCTTCCCCCCAGGGGCACGCCTACCATAGCAATTAATTTTCATAACAGTATGAGGCAAAGAGGTAGCTGTTCTTATCTCCATTCTTCAGAAGAAGAAACTTGCCTAAAATCAACTTGCATAGCTAGTGTCAAATAAGTAAATACAGTGGCTGTGCGTGGCTGAAGAACCCTGTGATCCCAGCACTCTGGAGGCAGAGGAATCATTTTTTAAGGTCATCTTTGGCTACATAGCAATTCAAGACCAGCCTAGGTTGCCCGAGGACTCCCCCCTCAAGGAAAAAACTCATCCCCTAAAAAATGCATTCAGACAGGTGTTTGGACTCTCAATCACTTGTTCATTCAATTAGACCAGGGTATCTTTTCTGTATTCAAATAAATTTATTGTCATTGTGTTGCTGACATTAATTCTGGAGATGCAAATTTTTTTGCCATAAATATTACCTGTTAGGTTAATCACTTGATATCGACCTCCGAGTCCACTTACCCTAATAATAAGAGCGTCAGAGCCACACGTGGGAGCTAGCAATGTCACTGAGCTCTGTCTAGACCGAAGCTGGACCTGAAGGTTGCTGCTTCTTTGCTGAGTTGGGCAATAACTGGACTGGCAGGAAGGTGTGAAGGACCCACTGGTATCCAAGAGAGGCATTCTCCTTGCGGCAGCCAGGAATGAGAAAGATAATGCAGGAAGCATTTTTCAAAGTTCAGTGTTATTTACCGTTGTATTTACAAACTACTGAGAAATCACCTTGTGTACCATCTGTGGCACATGCTTTGCACACTGCAAAATCTCTATGCTAGCATGGTCTGGCAGGTGGGGTAATGGCATCACGAAGCCAAGGCATTCAAACCTTAACAGTTGATGTTGGACAGGAAAAAACAAACAAACAAACAAACAAACAAACAACCAAGGGTGTGAATCTTCCAGGTAGCATCCAGGAAAGTCAACGCTCTTGCCCAAGATTTGCTAAAAGAAATTGGCATGAAAGAAAGCCACATTCCATAAAATAGCCAGTTTATTCCCACACTTGGGATAGAGAGGGGGCGCATATGCCTAGGATCCGGGTTCTTTCTCAGGTTCCAAGTGATCAATGCAGATACAAGCAGGAGGGGACTATTGAGAAGAATTTAACGTGGGACAAAAGTCTAGAAAGTCTGTATGAACTCTGGGGTTGCCGAAGGAGATGGAGAGAGCCTACGGCATGGGGAAAAATAGATTTACGGATTCAGCTTGCTAGACAGCTTTAAGCATGCTAAGAAGTTTGTACTCGATTGTAAACACCAGCATTCACTGCTCTCTTCTTGGAACCCACATGCTCCCCTCAAGTCCAGACCCCCGCAAAGTAGTGAGGTTTCTGGCGTTCATCCCCACAGAAGAGGAATGGATGCAAAGAGATTGCCAGACTGAGACATCAAGACGCCATTTTCATCAGTCAGTGACGTTGGTGGGTATGTCTGTGCTACTGTGATTCCCTGTGTTCCAGTCTGGTGTTCATTTGCCAGGGACCTGCCTCTGGAGAGTCCTGGAGGAAAAGACCTCACAGTCTAAAATCATGAATCCATTCCTCAGAAACTTCTTGGGGTATGCGTAGATGAGGACCATCCTCCATGCTCAACGTTGATTGCTGGCTCTTCAGGAGCTATGTGAGAGAAGGAGAGATGGAGAGAGAGAGAGAGAGAGAGAGAGAGAGAGAGAGAGAGAGAGAGAGAGAGAGAGAGAGAATTTGTGTGTGAGAGAAAGGCAATGGGCTGAATTTCTGGGATGAACTTTTCAGGGATCACTGGTCTCGTTTGATAAAGTAATCCTGACTAGAGGATGCTGAAGTGGGGTAGCAGGCTTTTGTGCTTTTGACTCTAAGCACTGGCTTCCTTTTGAAAAATATCCTTGTTCTCACCTGAAAAAAAAAAATGTATTTAATTTTACGTGTGGTCCATGCAGAAAACCTGAATGATGCAGGTGGAACTCCTTTCATTGAGCAGCTCTGTGTCTCATTTTCTTCCATAATAACTTTTAGTTCTCTGTGTTGCCTTGTATATATCCTCTGGGCATTTTATTGTGTTTAAACCCATGGATATGCAGGGTGTGTGTGTGTGTGTATGAACATGTGAGAATGTGAGACAGTGTGTGAGCATCTCTGTGAGCACATGTGTGAGCATGTACACATGTGTGTGTATTTAATGGGATCCTGTTGTGTTCGGTATTCACTTGGTCTCAGGACAAGCACTTGAGGGAGAAATGGGAGGAAACTATGTGGATAAAAATAGGAAGATTGCTCCAGGCATTGGGGGCAGAAAGTGACAAGGCCACAGAGCAGGTGGATTCTTATGGAGCTCATACAGAAGAATCCAAATGGCTGAAGTAGAGAATGCAGGGAGGCACTGTGGGGTAGGGAGCCGCCAAGCTGCACAGAGCCTTAGAAAGAAAGTTCCATGTTACAGCCATGTGGTTGCCTTTCCTAGTAAAGCACTGTTTGTTTAATCTGTCCCACGAAGGACATTTAGACTCTTAAGGGCCTCCTTTGTTCCAGACAAAGCCTCTTGGAGCATCCTTGAACAGATATGGTTGAAACCCTGGCTGCATATGAGATTTCCCCCGAGAGCCTTAAAACCTATCACTCTTGGCCTTGTAGCTGAAGATCCCAGCTTAGCCCTGGGTGAACCATGGGCCAGTAGTTTCCAAAGCACCTGGCATGTCAAGAATGGAAAGTCCATACTTCTCATGCATCTCTATGCATTTACATCTAAAGTGTGTGTGTGTGTGTTCATCTAAGCTGTGAAGGTCAGGGTTGCAATAGATGTCCTCAGTTACCTCCCAACCTCAATTTTTGAGTCAAGGCCTCCTCCTGAACCTGGAGCTTTCTATTAGGACAGGAGGGAGGCCAGCAAGCGTTCCCAATGCTGAGAAGACAGGGGCATGCTGTGGCACCTGGATCTTTACATGGGTGCTGGGGATGTGAACTCAGGACATCAGGCTTACATGGCAAGCACTTACCAAATGAACTATCTCCTCAGCCCTTACGGTGGGTTTTGATGTGTGGAACTGGTGTGTTGGTGGGTACATGGGGACATAGTTTTTCCCCTGTATCCAAGGGGGATTGGTTCTTAGTCCTCCCACTCGCACGAATACCAGCATCCATCCACACAGCCCCAGTTTCCTGTATAAAGTGGCTTGTTATTCATGTAGACCCTACACAGACCCTTCCATCTCTAGAATATTTATAATTCTAAATACAGGGCGAATGTGGAGTTTGTTGCTGCCCTGTATTGTTTATGAGATAACAAGAAAAACGTCAGCTCATGAGTGATGAAGATGCAATGTTGTTCTAAATGTTTTTGGCCTGGGGATGGTTGGATTTAAGGAGGAGGGACCCACAGGTACAGAGGCCTGGGGATGGTTGGATTTAAGGAGGTGGGACCCACAGGTACAGAGGCCTGGGGATGGTTGGATTTAAGGAGGTGGGACCCACAGGTACAGAGGCCTGGACCGTACGTCCAGGGAGACAGCTGCAGGGTCAGCCCCAAGCTGCTCGTGTGCCTGTAGTAAAGTTGCCATTGCTTCACACTCTGCCAATCTTGATGGTCCCTCTTTTCAGCTGCTTCAGTCGGGACAAGAAAATAACTCAGCGTTTAACTCGTGTTTTGAACGGTGCTTCCTTGCTCACCGGTGAGGTCCGTTATTTTTCTTTTGACTCAGACTCTAACTCTGGAGCCCTGGCTGTCCTTAAACTTGAGGCAGGTCCTCCTGCCTCAGCTTCTCCAGTGCTGAGGTAACAGGCCTTAGCTCCTGTGTGTGCTACATTCTGTGTCTTCATCATACCCCACTAGTTTATATTTATTTTCACAGAAAAAAAATCTACCATTGCTGGATACTTAGCTTTGAATTTTCCGTGTCTTAACTTATCTGAGCCAATAAAGCCTGCTCAACCTTTGAGAAATAGATCATATCCCCATTTTTATTAGCAATAAAAAAAACTTCAGGGAAGACATATTTATGTAAAAACAATACCCAGGAAGTCTTGTCCCCGCCAATTACACAGAAAAGAACACAATTTTACCTGCAAGCTCCTTTGCCCACCGAGGCATTTTGCCAGTCCCAGATTTGCCTGTGTTCTTTTGAAAAAGGACCGAGTTCTTGTTTATTCCACCTCAGAACGTGACAAGTGCCCTTCCAATCCTGACACAGCTACCACCTGTTCTGCAGGCAGGAAAGGATGGGCCCGAATCTGTACAAGACAGGTGCTTTCACGGCGGACAGTAGGCCAGTAGTTACTGTGCTCCTCCCGATGGGCACTTGGGGCATCTGGGACACTGAGCCCCCTTAGATGGCGATACCTGCTTCCTGTGCACCTCCCAAGGGGCACCCAGGGCCCCCACCATCCTTAGATGGCAAGTTCTTCCTTAAAGAAACCTGGGGACACAAAGGCTCTTGTGGCTACAGATGACAAGCCAGCGCTAGTTTGCAAAGCGCTAGTTTGCAGGGGTGTTGCTTCATTTTATGAGACAGGGTCTCATTATACATACCAGGCTGGCTGAAACCTCGTGATCTTCCACCCGCGGTTGAGACGGAAATGGCTGCAACTCCACACCCAGCTAAGCAATAACTTTGAATATGGTTCTGAATCTATTTTTCGCTACTTGCACATCCCCGAGATCACACAGAGGTAATGTCTGGGGATCGTATTGTATACTTATTTTACTTTATGACAAATCCATGCTATTCCGCAAAGGTTGAGGAACCTGGCTGCCACTGCACTCAGTGTTTGTGAACATGGATGGGAACCCAGTGCGAGCCTAGAGTGGGTAGTGTTTAGGGAGGCACCAAGAACTCTACACACAGCCAGTGACTTTGGCTTTCAATCTCTTCCCAACCTTGGAAATGTTGTTGGGAGGGTGGGGTGGGTGAGGGGGGTGGGGGGGGAGGCAGTTGGGTGGGGCTGATCAGCTCTGCCTGAGTGTATAAAATGACAACTTCCTGTAGAAACTTTCAAGATGAAGTTTGATGCACTCAACACCATCGAAGATATAAGATGACCCTACTTGTGACCCCTGAGACTGCCACATTTGTGGCACAGCACGGTCGCTACCTTTATGCCCATGCTCTGTCTTGCTCAACTGGTATTGTTGCTAACGAAGTTCCTTTGGTCTCATGGGCTATCAGACAAATGGCCATGAGACAGGCTGTGAGGAAGGAGGAGGGGATGCAGGAGATGGAGTGTCAGCGGGTGTCTTGGGTACAACATGACCTCTGCCCCGGGGAGCTAAGAGATCTCCAGAGTCCTTGCAGACAGCAGCACTCAGAGAATCCTTTGTTCTCTTTGACCCCTGTCCCTGACGTAGAGCATCAAGTTTTCTTGGAACTTATTGGATCATAAGGTTATCTTTTGTTCCAGCAGATAACTCTTGGTTGGTCCTAGATAGCCTAGTGATGCTGGATTGTTGCTATGGAAACCAGTCGTGTGACAAAAGGTCAGCAGTTTTCAGTCCTATCTCTTTTTCCTAGGGAAGGGAAATAGGCGGAAGGCTGAGTTGATATAATTCTTCATGCCAGCATTATGAAACCCCTGTAGCCCTCCAAAGAGACAGGGTCTGAGAAGCTTCTAGATTGCAACCCACTGGTGCCTGAAGGATGTTGCACCCAGAGTGGCAGGGAAGCTCCCACACCTTCCCTCTCTTCCATCAGGATGCATCTACACTCCTTAGTGATGTACTTCATAGCAAGTAAGTACCCATTAGTGCTTCCTTGAGTTCTACACAAATGAAAGGAATCTGGAGAGGGGTCATGATTTCTGTCTGGTAGAAAGTCATCACATTTAATTGGAGGCTTAGGACTGACATCTTGAGTAGGTGAGCACTCAGTCTGTGGGTTCTGGCTGTACCTCTTGTTAGGGGGTATCCGAATGCAGCTGTTCCAACTGGTGTCTGCTGAGAATTGCTTGTTATGTGGGGAACTCTATCAACCCACATCAGGCTGCAGAAGGGTGCTGCTTCAAATGTGTAGAAAAAGGAAAACACGTTTTTATCTCTTACGGAAGGCATGTAAACCGCCTGGTTTTATGGCACACACCCGGGGTGGGGGTAGGGGGAGAGTTTTTTTCATTAAATGAAAACTGTAGGACAGTGGTTATGTGATGTTAGGTTATTTAGAATCACTCTCTTGTGAGATTACACATATTTTAAGATCACTCCAGGGCTTGTCTGGGACCCAGAGATCTACGCGTGCAAGTCCTTGGGCTGAATCTGTTGCAGATGGTCTTTCAAAGCTGAGGGTGCTTTGAAAAACATGACCACTGAGACTAGCGTAACCTCTCTTGAATCTTCAAGGTACTTAGGAGAAAGCTAAACCCTGTGGACATGTTGGCTTGGGTAGGGATTTGCATATATTCAGGGTGGGAAATATCACCTTTCATCTCTGGGATTCATCTCTGTACTCGAGGGCAGAGAGGTCCCTGACTTTGAGAGACTTCAACTTTCTGATGCCATTTGGATCAGAACCATCTGAAAAGGCATTGCTCTATGCAAAATACTGAATATTTGCACGATTCTCAGATCTTCAGAATTTGATGACATGAAATTGTCCCCAGACATCATGTGAAGTACTTAGGTAGTCTATAGAATTAGCTGAACAAGAACTTCCCATGAATTCAGTTAAAGATTGTCATGATTTGGGACTATTTAAAGAAACACAATAGAGACATTTGAGTTCTATTCTCCATCTTGATTATTATTTTCTTAATAAGGATAAAGGCTAACTACTTTTAATAATAACAATAATAGTAGAAATAATGGTAACAGTGCCAGAGACCATAGGGACTTTACCAAAGAGCTACATTAATTTTTGGGTTTTTTTGAGATTTTTTTTTTTTTTGAGATAGGGACTCATTTAGCTCAGGCTGGTCTTGAATTTATTATGTAGGAGAGGATGACCTTAAACTCTTGACCTTATTGCCTAGTCTCTCTGTCTCTCAAGTCACCTGGGGTTACAGATATATACCACCATGCTAGCTACCAAGATCAAATTTTTGTTTATTTTATTTTTTAAAAAATATTTACTTTATTATTTTTACTTATGGATGTGTGTGCGTAATTTGCATGTGAGTGCAGTGCTCTGAACATGTCCTCTGGAAGAGAGCCACCAAAGCTCTCAGCCTCTGAGCCATCTCTCCAGTCCATTTATTACTACTTTGTTTAGATTTGTGTGCTTTTATTTTCTGGGTATGAGTGTTTCATCTGCATATATGTGTTTGTCCTATGTGCACACCTGGTGTCCTTGGAGACGAGAAGGGAGAATCAGATTCCCTGGAATTGGAGTTACAGATAGTTGTGTGCCACTTGAGTAGGTGCTGGGAATTGAACTTGGGTCCTCTGAAAGATCAGCCCGTGCTCTTAACCACTAAGCCATCTCTCTAGTTTGTTTTAGTTTGAGACAGGATCTCACTATGTAGTCCTGGTTTGTTTTGGAGCTCTCTAGCTACATAGAGACCAGGCTGGCCTTGAACTCACAGAGCTCCTCCCACTCTACATCCTGAGTGCTGGGACTAAAGGCGTGTGCCATCATGCCTGGCTCTCACGTTTTTTAAAAGACAGATACTTTACAGTTTCGGAAAATCAGTCATTTTCTTTAGAGGGGAATTTTGAGTTAAACTCAGAAGTCTGCAGAAGTCATGGCTTTGCCTCACCCATGCTTGGTGACCTCTGCAGTCAGATTTCCCTTCCATGGAGGCCTTGCTGGCTTCCAGATTGTTCCAACAGAGCCTGCTGGGGACACGCACACATCCGTAACCCTACTCTCCTCCTTGGCATTGACTTAGAACAAGCTAGGACAGTGAGTTGGCTGATGTAAAGGAAACTGACCACTGTGCTAAGGACGACCCTTAGTGTGCCTTTTTTCCTTTGCACTTTGGAGGAAGAAGCTTGCCAGGATCGGACCATGAGGCTTCTATTAAGCTCTGGGATCTGAATCCTCAGGGGTGGGGTGTTCAGAGCTGAAAAATTGCAGGTTCCAGGCTCACATCTGATTTACCCAGTTGGAACCCTCTGGGCATGTTTTGGATGGGAATGTGTATAAACATTTCCAGGTAATTCTGAGGCAGTGCAAAGCTTGGGGACCTCTGTTCGGTACTTCCACATGGCTGTCCAATTTCTACAAAGTAGGCTGGGATATTTTATTTCAAAGGATTATAGAGAATTTGGCCCTATTATTCAGCTTACTGGAAGGTTGCAATTGATTTCTTTTCCCAATAGAGTGCTCTGCCTCTCTCTCTCTCTCTCCCTCTCTCTCTCTGGGTCTCTCTCATACACAAAGGGCTGGACTGGCCTCTAACACTTCCTCAACTCACGCTTGCAAAGAACTCTCTTAAGTTATTTGGATTTCTAACTCAATAACGTGGTGTTCTGACTCTAAAAACCCTCTTTTGCTTTCTGTAATGACTTGGGCAGAAATGTTTCTAAAAGGGATCTGACCTTAGGGTAGAAAGGTGGAAGGAGTCTGAGAATGTAACAGCTTGCCCAGATGGTTTGTGTGTTAGCTCGAGGTTTTATTTTGAGACAAGATCTCACTGTGTAGCTCAGGAACTCGATATGTAGAACAGGTTGTCCTTGAAATCACAGAGATGTGCTTGCTTCTCACCCTGACTGCTGGGTTTAAAGATCTACATTACCAACTCAGGTCAGAACTAGGGTATGAATCCTGCTAACAATCGATGACTCACCATCGTGAGATACAAAAACTGGAACAGTGACCTCCAAGTCACAGCTCTTATTCGTATTAGGGAAGCTTCAGCCATAAGCATGTGCACATGCCGTGACACCATGTGCAAACATATACTATGAATAGCGGGATTTCTCTTGTATGTTGACTTCTGGGCCTGTTGTTCAAAAAAACTTGGACAAACATTTCTTTTTTTAAAAGTATTTTTTTAAGTATATGTGTGTATTTCTCTCTCTCTCTCTCTCTTTCTCTGTGTGTGGTATTTTTCTCTCTGTGTTTTCTCTCTCTCTTTGTGTGTGTGTGTGTGTGTTTCTCTCTGTCTCTCTGTCTCTCTCTCTCTCTCTCTCTCTCTCTCTGTGTATGTGTTACATGTATACAGGTGATAGTGCAGGCCAGGTGTCTGATGACCCTGGAACTGGAGATAAAGGCAGTTGTGAGCTACCCAGTGTGAGTGCTGGGGACCCAACTCAGTTCCCAGTTAAGAGCAGGAGGTGATCCTCACTGATGAGCTGTCTGTCCAGCTCTGTACTCTGAGGTTTGATCTAAATGATCACCTCACATTGCCAAGTAGACAGGTTACAACCCGCAGGTGCGGTCATCACTCTGTCTTATTATGGGTTTAAACAGTGTAGTTGTCAACATCTAAGTCAGATTTCTAACACCTTTTAAAAGTGGGGTCAGCATCCTGAGGGGTGGTTGCTCCCTTTAAAATGGTTCACCACGGCCCCCATGTCTCCTCATTGTGCCCTAACCCTGCCTGACCCACGACACATGTGTGTTTTGGCTTTGACTCATTACAGACCTCATGGTGCTGTCAACCCCGTCGGTGAGTGCTGGAGTTGACCGTAAAGTGGGGACAGTTCATCCCTGTCACTGACACACCAGAAAAGGAGGCGCTGATGGACAGGTAGTGAGAAGCTGCGGTTAAGAACCCAGTGCTGGAGACGCAGCTCAGTGGGCAACGTGCTCGCTGGGTAAGCATGATTCCAGATCTCCAGCACCAACACAAGAGCCACATGTGTCAGTGCCAGTCATGTCACCGCAGAGCCTAGGGCAGAGACATCTGTCTGCGTTCAGAGACAGACCCTGTGTCGAAAGGTGGGTTGGTGATGGGGAGTACACCCTAACATCAGCCTCTGACTGCCATGTGACCTGCACGCACATATGCATCCGTGAGACACACACACACACACACACACGCTCACATACACACACGCATGCACGTGCACACACAGGCGCACACACATACACGCGCACGCACGCGCACACACATGTGCGTGTTCTCGTCTGTTCTCCAGCACTATCGATTTTAAAGAACTCGATGATGATATCAATGTCATCCAAACAGAAATCCCAAGTTCCTTTGCTCTCTTGGTTTCCCTTTCCCTCTCTTTGGACACCACCGTCTGTTTTCCCCGTATTTCCCCATGGCGCTAGGACGTGGACTCCCTCCCACATCTGCCTGGCCCTCGTTGTTTGTGGATCTGGCTTATCTCCTAGGAAGTCATCTCCTGTGGCATCCGCTGTCCCCTCAGTTGCCAGGGTTGGGCTGGCTGACCTACCCAGACTAAGGATGTGACTTCCTCCCTCATCCACCCACGTTGGCCTTCTCAGGTTAAGGGGCGGAGGGCTTTGGTCAAGGGTGTAGAAGAAGAGTTGGTTGCCCAGGAAGAAAAGCTGGAGTAGTCTTGGCCCTGTGGGTTTGTGGTTCTCATCCCTGGCCCAGGCCATGCGCCATGCACCACGTGGCCTTTGCCTTCCTCAGAACTCTGGTGGAAAGTGGCATCGATTCTATCAGGGGAAGGTCATTCCAGCTTATTGGAGAATTCAGGAAAGCTTGTGTAAATCCAGAGAGAAGCACCACTGTCCCTTTCTTCCTGACAGGGGAGCTCAGGGGTGGCCCCAAAGCACGGGGCTCTTCTGTCCTTCAACTAGGAGTGAGACAAGCATGATGCAAGGCCACACGGGGCCTGACTTGGCAGACTCGTGCTGAGACGGCTATCAGAACAATTCCGGTTGCTGCGATTATGCCTTTACGTCTCCTGCCCTCTGACAGTCAGGTGACAGGCGTCAGCCCTCTAAGTGTGAGCCTAAGTGACATTTCCTCAGGCAGTGGGAGAGCTGCAGGGCTCTCTCTGCTCCCACCCACTCCCTGCCTTAGCCTGACATCACTTCCTGTTCTAGAAATGAAGGCTAGGGAGTTATAGCCCACAGATTAAAAATACTTGCTTTTGTAAATGAACGTTTCCTGGCACACAACCACACCAACCATTCACACACGTCCATGGCTGCTGCTCAGTACTTATGACAGAGGAGGTGGTCGAGAACTCATGTCCTGCAAGGTCTAGAACATTTACTGTCATGCCGGGGCCATTTAGCCCCAGTGTGTGCGGACTGGCCCTGTGTGCCAGGTGGAGGATTGCAGAGCGCACCTCACCGGGGGACCACTGGTGCAACCGTGGTTCCAAGAAGCACAGGACAGGTCGATCCCTGCAACCTGGGTCAGAAAGGAGGGAAAAGGTGGCTTCACCCTTGCTGGCGAGTCCCTAGTTTATCTTCAGGTGGTATTGAAGGGTCAGGTGTACCCCTCCAGCCTGGGTCTGATGGTGAAGGTCCACTTTCTACTTTAATTGTTTTGTCTATTTGTAATTTGATGGGAAACTAAGCAGGTAAAACTGACTCTGGCCATTCTTTGGACAGTCATGGCGGCCATGCCTCAAGATGGCTTCAGTTGTGTCAAGCTAAGCTTTTCTCTTCTTCCCTGATAGAATGTAGTGGAGTGATTGATTGACAGCCTGGTCTCTGAAAGTCTGTGTGGAAGGCAGACCTCACATCCGCCCTGCATGGTCTGTGTACCATGGTGAAAAGATGAAGACCTACTGGGCAATCTTAATGTAGCCAGTAGAGACCCATGAGCGTTCAAGAAAAGCACTAAGTAGCAGGAGGGGTTTGGCAGAGCCTACTTACTTCCTGTAGAACTGCACCACACAGAAAACACCGATGATGAGCAGGCCAATGATGATGGAGGCAATGGCCACCCACTTGGCATTCCTCCCCAGCCTCCTGGCTCCTTCGTAGTCTCCGTCATTGTAGCTGTTCTGAGACTGGGGGACAGAAAGGAAGAGCTGATGACCACAGACAACCATAAGGAAGGCCGTGAGCCTTCTCAGCCTGTCTTGATGAAGCAACTCTGAAGGAGCCATTGGTGACTGCTCCCCTCATTACCAAGCTGTTGGGAAAACAACATGGCTATCCTCTCCCAGGAAACCTTCCCAAGGCCTGTATATTTCTTATTTCCACCCGGATAGGGGCTATGTGGGTACTAGTGTTTGTCTCTCTCATTCAGCCCAGTATGTCAGTTCCCAGAGCCACACTGGTCAAGTGGAAGACACTTAATACACATCTGTAGAATGAAAGGACATACGTGTGTCAAGCATTAGGGCAGTCATTGCCAAGTGTGACTCACAGCCCCAGTGGCCAGCTCGCCACCTGTTTTTGCATAGCTCCTTTGGATGAAGCCACACTGCTTTGTTTACTATTGCTTGTGGCTGCTTCTGTGCTACAGGAACAGTGTTAGGAACTTGGGGGCAGAAGTTGTAGCGCTTGTCAGACCCAAGCTATTTGCTGTTTGGTTATTTACAGACAACATGCATCCATTGCTTTGGCTCAGTTGTTTGCCTCTGTGCCCAAGTCAAGGCCGTCTTTTAACTGGTACCCACAGACACAGCTTCTCGGGCTGCCGGAATGTTGCGGCAGATGAGAAATGCTGCTCTGAGCCTTGGTCCTCCTTCCCTAGTCGCTCTGTATTACCCATGACTTCTCCAGGACCCAGCATGCTAAGGGTTCCTTCTGAGCTCAGCAGAGCCTCCTTTCCCACTCTGTGGGAGGCAGCTCAGTGGGTAGAGGGTTAGTTCAGCACATCAAAGGCCCTGGGATCTGATCCCCAGAAACACCTAAAATGGGATGATGGAGGCTCGCCTGGGATCAGGACTTCAGCTAGTCCTTGCCCTCAGCCAGCTCCAGGTCCACCCGGGGTTACTTGAGAAAGAACAAGATCTCAGAAGCCTGAGTTCAGAGTCTATTTGAGCAGCAGGGATAAGGAAAGTAACCAACCTTTCCCTGTCCTTGTCTGTGAATTGGGGGCAACAGTGGCGGCCGCTTCACACAGAGGATCCCGTGAATTGACATGTGAAGTGGTCAGCATGGACCTTGCATGTTCGACACACACCGGCTTTTACTATGAATTGGTTGCTACCCCCACCTTCTTCTTACTTTAAGTCTTTGGGTGGATAGGGGTGTGCCAGGCTCATCTCTGCCTCTGACCGCCTCCATGACCATGGGGACCCAAGCTCAGGTAGCGTTTTGGATAGCGTCACAGTCACAGTCACCGCCCAGAGCGTGACAGATTCAGATTCAGAACTTAGAGTCCAGCATAGAGTTGTGAAGATTCAGGCCACCCACCCTTGACAAATTGTAGTTCTGTGTGTTCTCGGAAAACACGACTCAGACATCAGTCACAGTGATGGTCTGAGTAAGAAAGGGAAACCAAACTAAACAACGTTAACTCTTAACTGTTAGACAAGAAAAAAAAAAAATCTTATGTTGTCCAATAGCAGTGGCCAAAATACGCAGGGAAGACAGCTAGCCTGGGGCATTCTGAAGGGTGTACCTATCATCAGGCTATCGCCTGTGGGCTCACGTAAGTGGCGAGGGGGGTCTCTGGGCTATTTGGCTAGTTTCCTGCAGGTAATTGAAGCCATGCTGACCACCTGGCTGAGGAGTTCAAGTACAAGCTATGGGCATCCTTCCTCACCTGCAGCCAGCCTGGCATCCTGCAGGTGACCCTCCTTGACTCTCCAAGACTCATGAGAGAGAGCCTGAACCAGGATGCTGTTGAGAAACCTCTTCCAGGACCAAAGAGGATTCTCCTGTCTGTATAGGACTCCCACCCTGAGTTTGTTCTCCCCTCTGGTTCTTGGAGAAGGGCTCTCCCGGGTTAATCTGCTGGGTGAATGTAAAGATACAGGGAAAGGGTCAGGGCAGGAGACTATAGAATCCCAAGATTCCAGTCTAAGGGACTTGTGTTATGGTAGGGGGATCAGCAGACGGGTTGATGGCAGTTACTTTGCTCATAGTTGTGGAAATTGTTCGATGGAAGCAGCTTACCAGAGGGGTGGTTTTCTTTGGCACATGGCTTCAGAAGTCCCAGTGCAATATGGCGGGAAGCATGATGCTGGGACTGCCCTGTCTGTACTGGCAGGGGACGAGGGTGGTGGCCTGTGTTATAACCCCCCCTCAAGAGCTCAGAGTGCAAACTGTGCCGCCTGGTTGGAGAGAATGAGAGGACCCGGGGTGGCCATAGATGCCTAAAATGTGCTTGATCTTGTCGGAGTGGACTCTTTCCGTGACATAGGGGTCCTCAGGCTTGGCCGCAAGTGCTTTCACCTGCTGAGCCGCTACAGTGGCCCAACTCACACGGTCTTCCTCATTCTCCCAAGAGTTACAAATGCAGTTTGGATACACACCCATTATTTCAACACTACAGAAACAGACAGGACATGGAACTCCATCTAATCTCATTTCCCAGCGGCCTGGTCTGCCTTTTAGATGTTGCATCCACGAATCCTGTGCACATAAGTCTGACACTTGCCCCAGCTTCCATGACGACCGGGCATGCTTAGATTGAGGTTAGGAGAAAGAAATTCGCACCCCAAGACAAAGCCGCAGTAGTAAGCCTGCGTGTCTGACCCTGGTCCTCCACATGTGAGCATCTCACATGTTGCCTACAGGTGCGTGTGGAGACAGCTTCACCCTCCCTCAGGCCGGGCTGGCGGCACGGCACAGGCTGCAGAGGGAGGCCTTGTTTTTGCTATGAACAGGTGATGCGAACCTGGGTAGACTTAGCAGACCTGCCATTGCTGTTGCCTTTAAACACTCGCCCGGGCCTCTCATGGCCGGCTTGGGCCTTCTGAAATTGGACTTCTGGCGTTTCTTTCTAAGTGAGTCTCTTCCTCCTTTCCCTCTCTCCTCTCGCTTTTTCCTGTCCCTTCTCTTCCCCCTTTTCTGTATGTTTTGGCTCCTGCTATGTATATAGTTCAGTTCTGGAATGTTCCCCAGAGGGCCACATGCTGCAGTCTTCAGAAGGCCGGCTTGGGAGGCTCTAGGCCACTGAGGGGTGTCCTTGACGGGACTTGTAGGGTTCTGGTTTCTCCTCTCTCTCTCTCTCTCTCTCTCTCTGTTTCCCCAGCTTCCGTGAAGGAAGTCCTTTCTCTGCCTGTGTTCTTGTTATGCAGTTAACTCTTCACACACTGAAAAGCCACAGACAGACAGACGGTGCCCAGAAACCTCCACCACTATGAGACAAGGTATTTTGCTACAGTAAGCAGAAAGCTGGGTGGCACAGCTTCTGACTTTTCCTGTGACAAAACAGTGACCCTGCCGTGCCCGGGGGTCAGCACTGCCCAGTCCTCACCCTCTTCCCTCTGGTCCTTATATTCGCTCTGCCCTTTATTTCTTGACGTGCCTGATCCTGGGAAGGGGGGTGACAGAAATGTCCTGCTAAGGCTGGACATTCTGCAGCCATGTGTTCTCAATGCTGTGAACAATTGTGGAGCCTTCCCAGCTCTTCTGGGCTGCCCCTCCTCCACATACCTCTCTAGCCTCTTTTTCAAGACATTTACTCTATTTTATGTGAATGAGTCTTTTGCCTGCGTGTATGTTTGTGCATCATATGTGTGTGTCATGCTTAGGGAGTCAGAAGAGAGCACCAGATCCCCTGATTTTATTTTTATTTTAGCCCTGGCTGTCTTGGAACTCACTCTGTAGACCAGGCTGGCCTTGAAGTCACAGAGATCCTCCTGCCTTTGCCTCCCGAGTGCTGGGATCAAAGGTGTGCGCCACTGCCCAGCTGGGATCCCTGGCCCTAGGCTAACTGAACCCTGGGTCCCTGCCAGTCGCCTTTCACTTGAGAGCATCTAGCTGCGCTTGTCAAGAGCCCGGCGCAGGGCCAGACACAGCCAATTTTCGTTTTGAACTTCACTGCCGTGCTTTGCTGGGAAATGCCCTTCTAGTGATGCGTTTCCCCGTGCTCTTCCTGTTTGGACAGCCGTTGGTTATAGGTGTGGGGGGGCCTTGTTTGACCCCCACAGGTGAGACACTGTGGTCCTAAAGTGATGGATTACATCAGTTTGTTCATTATCCAATTTCTTTGTGTGCTCTCGACTAGGGCTGGGTCAGATCCTACTGCCTAGAGCAGGGGACCCATTTAAAATGGGGTGCCCGAGGAAACAGACAGAACGAGACCTCAACAGTGGGCAGGTTCTGGTCATGAGAATCGAATCAAGGTTGGAAGAGGGAGACAGAGGGAGGGGGAGAAGGGAGCGGTGAGGGTGAGCACTGTGCAGTTAGGCCGATGTCCGTCTACTGTGTGTGTTTAGGCTGTCCATCTACTGTGTGCGGTTAGGCCATCGTCCGTCTACTGTGTGTGTTTAGGCTGTCGTCTGTCTGCTGTGTGTGTTTAGGCTGTCCGTCTGCTGTGTGTGCTTGTGTGGTTAGGCTGTCGTCTGCTGTGTGTGCTGTGTGTGGTTAGGCTGTCGTCTGTCTGCTGTGTGTGCTTGTGTGGGAGTCCTATGGACAGGGCTTTATCTGTGTACTAAGTTTCTCAGAGATGGGAGCTATTTGTCTCTGCTATGGCTTTATTTATTTATGTACGAGTTTATTTTGCATGGGACTTGAACTCAGCACCTCACACACACTGAACTACAGACCAAGCCCTGCTAATGACTTGGAATTGGAGACTCCTCTCTGAGACCAACGGCTAGAGGCCATAACCTACCACGTATGGGCTTGGAGGCCCTGATTTCATTTCTAATAGTGAAAGGCCCCGTGCTATGGAGACTCAGTAGAAGGGTGCCGAGCTAGCGGTGCTGGGCTCCCTCTGTCAACTAGGTCTTTCCTTGTTTGGGGTGGGGTGGGGTGGAGTGGGGTGGGGTCAGGAGGTGTTCTGTATGAAAGTGTTCTGCTACTGAGCTGTATCCCGAACCCTTGGATTTTGGTTGTTTTAGAGGACTTACCTGTTTATTTTATGTGTGTGTCCCTGCATGAG